AGAGAGAGAGAGAGAGAGAGTGTGAGTGAGTGAGTGAGTGAGTGAGTGAGTGAGTGAGTGAGTGAGTGAGAGAGAGAGTGTGTGTGTGTGTGTGAGAGAGAGCGTGTGAGAGTGTGTGTGTGTGTAATACCTGCTCTGCCAGCCAGCCGATGTGTTTGAGTGTGCAGTGTGTGTTGGCGCTGGGGTTGCTCAGGAAAGAGTTGATGTGGTCCATCGTCTGTGGCAATAGGGCAGCAACATTAGTGTGAATGGCTGTGAACCAGGAGTGAGCAGAGGCCCCGTCTTTACACCGCAGCACCACAGTGTGCTGGCCGTCCGGAGAGTGAAGCTCCAGCAGCCTGAAACAAACACAGCATCCCTGAAAATATTCCCCATCCCAATGCTGCGCTGTAACGCGCTACATAATCAGTATTTCTTGAAAGTTATTCGTGAAAAGTTCATGTTACTTCTTGAATTTACAATATAATACTAGCATTACTTTTTCAAACAAGTAAAGCATTTCTATGTATTTATGTCCCAGTTTTTTTTAATTGGCAGGTACTATCATATAGTGCAGTCAAACGATTAATCGCATCCAAAATGCTGTCAAACGATTAATTACAATTAATTGCTCCAAAATTCCAAAATAAAAGTTTTTGTTTACATAATGTGTGTGTGTGTACTGTGTATATTTATTGTATATTATATATATATATATATATATATATATATATATATATATATACAAACACATGCATGCATACATTTAAGAAAAATATGTTTATATATTAAATATATTTATATATAATATAAATTAATGCATGAAAATACATGTAAATATAAAAAAATATATATATACTGTATGTGTGTGTATTTATATATACATATTAAATATACACAGTACACATACATATATTATACACACAAATTTTTATATTTTGGATATGATTGATCACGATTAATCGTTTGACAGCACTACTGTCATAATTGTAATTTCATGATCTCATTATGTTAATATTTGTTAAATTAATAATTCACAGCAAGTGTTGATTTTGGGGACCATGACATGTTTTTATGAGATTCAAATCCAAATGTTGCTGTTGTCTTCATAGCAGAAAGACAGTCAACCTCGTCAGCAAAATACTGCTTCTGGTTACTTCTGAAATCTCACACACAAACACACACACGCACCTGCTTTCCAGGTCAGGCATGGTGAGGTTTCGGCTGATGAAGCTCATTTTGAGTGGGATGACCTTCCTGTCAGGACTTACACTGCTCTTGGGCGACTCGTCGCTGCTGCTGAGGTTTGGGGACTGCAGACGCCCATCCCAAGGCAGATCCGCGCTCACAGAGGACTTTTTAAAGAGCGGAGACACCTCCCTGATATACTTCACTGCACAAAACACATACAGCCTAACTAAGCATTCAATATCAGAAACATCAAAAAAAAAAAAAAAAAAAAAAAAAAAAAAAAAAAAAACATTTACACATGAGGATCAATGTGTGTGTGTGTGTGTGTGTGAGTGAGCGCGTGAGCGAGTGTTTGTGTGCATGTTTATGTGGTTTATGAGGACACAAATTTGTATAATAACATGGGTATGACATAGGTATTACAACGAGAAGGTGATTTATGAGGACATTTTCATTGTCCCCGTAATTCAAAAGGCTTATAAATAATTCAGAATTAGTTTTTTTGAAAATCTAAAAATGCAGGAAGTTTCCTGTAAGGGGTAGGTTTGGTGTAGGGCAATAGAAACTACGGTTTGTACAGTAGAAAAACCATTACGCCTATGGAGAGTCCCCATAAACCATAAAAACAAACCTGTGTGTGTGTGTTATCGGCCAACAAAGGCAACGACTTGGAGCTTTAGGTACAGTCAAATGTTTTGATGATGTTTCGCAGGACTGTGTGTGCTTGCAGGCATTGGAACGCTTAACATTGAACAGCAAGATCCAAAAGTCACTTTGAAGTCTATGACTTAAAATAAAACATTTGAATTTTTAAAACATATTTAGATGTTTTCTTCATAGTGTCATGAACTGTTCAAACATCTGAAAAATTTAGCCAAGTGTGTCATTCATCCTTACAAACAACAACAGCAACACTGTTCCTTACTGATAACAAGCTTGAGCAGAAACACACTTGGCTTGGCTGAGGAATTCAGTTTGGACAGATGAATGTAAATTGTGGTTGCTTGGGTGCCAACAAGACAAAAATAAATACCTGCATTCAAGAGCTGCTCATACTAGGGATGCACCAAAATGAAAAATCTTGGCCAAAGCCGCTATTTTGCCATTTTTTTCACCATTGCATAAATGAAATAGCCAAAATGTGTTTTACGGTTTTGTCTTGCTTTTCAAAAAAATATTTACTTAACACTGGACATGTTTTAACATTCTAGCAGACAAGCACAATTGAACTTAATTCTGTGAGCTCATATAATGCAATTGAACAGGTGACAATGCGGCATCTCCAAAAAGTGAAAATACCCGTCATGACTGTAATTCATACGACCCACAATAATCCATAAACAACCATAGAGCATCAACATTCTGGTGCCTGCTTACTAGTGTTGGGTGATAAGCTCCATAGTCATATCATCCCATTGTTAGCCTGTGAGATTGCTGATACACGATATTATCAATCTAATATTTTTAATTATTTACTAATTTTTTAGCAAGAGAGTGAACCAGGGTAAGGATAAAGGTATCCTAATGTTGGTGAAATTTATTAACTACACATTAGGCTACATCTTTTTAGTCAAGTAGCATGAATTTAAATTAAAAGATTAAATTAACACACTTAAAAGATTCAGATCATCAAACCAATTTTAATATTACACAAAGATAATGCAAGTAAATACGAAATGCAGTTTTTAAATGATGATTTCATTTATTAAGGGAAAAAAGCTGTCCAAACCTATCTGGCCCTACGTGAAAAATTAATTGCCCGCTCCTGTTAAATCATGAAAGAACTGTGATTAACCACATTATTTTAGAAAGCCGAGTTAAATGGCACTAGCACACTTGGGCCTGATTACTGCCAGACCTGTTGAATCAAGAAATCACTTAAATAGAACCTGTCTGACAAAGTGAAGCATGCTTAAAGAGCAACACATCATGCCGCGAACTAAAGAAATTCAAGAACAGATGAGAATCAAAACAGTTGACATGTATCAGTCTGGAAAGGATTATAAAGCCATTCCTAAGTTCCCAGGAGTTGCCGGCCAACCAAAATTACTCCAAGAGCACAACGATGACTCATCCAAGAGGTCATAAAAGAACCCAGAACAACATCTAAAGAACTGCAGGCCTCACTTGCCTCAATTAAGGTCAGTGTTCATGATTCAACAATAAGAAAGAGACTGGGCAAAAACGGCATCCATGGGAGAGTTCCAAGGCAAAAGTCATTGCTGACCAAAAAGAACACAAAGGCTAGTCTCACATTTGGCAAAAAATATCTTGATTATCCCCAAGACTTTTGTACAAATATTCTGTGGACTGATACGACAAAAGTTTAACTTTTTGGAAGGTGTGTGTCCCATTACATCTGGTGTAAAACCAACAGAGCATTTCATAAAAAGAGCATCATAGCAACAGTCAAACATGGTGGTGGTTAAGGCTGTGTATCACCAGCAAAGTCACGATACGATACGTATCACAATACATGACTGCACTGAATTTCACCTCAGCGGAATTTAGAAAAACATCTGTTTATTAAACACTGCTTACTATAGTGCCATTTCTAACTATTGGCAGAGCAGGCAGCTGACCTCTGCATTATGAAGGGCCTCCATAACTGTACCACAGTACAATATAGTTAATGGCATATGTTTCATGTTTACATTGTGCACTCCCCACCAGGTACAATATTCTGATTGTTTGCATCTTGTTTTTAAGCCCATAAATAATAATGTACTTGTTCTAATACATTTATATTGTAATGTACTCATTCTAATATGTTTAAAAAATCATTTACATTGCTGGTAGGTTATCACTGCACCAATTAACACACTCTCTACAATTAAAAAAAAAAAAGAGAATAGAGTTCTAAACTAACGCGCGGTCTTCACTGTATCTAACGCTCAAGGCTGATTTATACTCAACGCGTCCGTAAATTCGCTTTGAGTGCGCGCGGCGTCGTTTCGCGTGGCGGTGTGCACGACATTTTTTGTAACTTTCCGCGCAGCTCCGCTTCCGAAGATGCATGAGTTCAAAACGACTCTAGCCGAACATGCACGTCTGTGCCAGCATTTGTGTGAAACAAGCAGTTTGGTTTTAAGTTCAGTCTCACACACAGATCACGTTGCAGCCAAACTCAGCATTCAGGAACAAATTTTTTAGCGCTGCCCCGCAATTTTATCAACTAAATAGTTTAATCGCTCAAGAGCTACATTATCTTTCTCAACAAGGAGCTGGTAGCATCATTGTTTCTAAAGGAATTAAAGCCACCGCTTTACTGTTAATAGAGAAACGCAGCAAAACGGTGGTAATTCATACATAAACAGCCTCTCTTTGTGTCATAAATGAACAGTTGATGAATTACACTTTTCTGAGAATAGACTTGAAGTGGAGATAGCTAAACTGCAAGCTAACCGCCGTTTTCAGAAAGCTAGCACGTTTATCCACAGTGGAGAGAGAGCGTGTCCACAGGGTTGCCAGGTTGACAAAGATAAGTAGCACGTTTAGCAGATAATTCTGTATTGCGCAAGTGTAAAGCTCTGTTTTGGGGATTACGTCTCTTTATATCAGGCAACCCCGTTGTGTTCCTCTGCGGCCAGATTATTAACAGATGCTCTATTCATTCTTTTTTAGAAACCTCGCAATTTTCTACTCAATTTTAAACGTTGTAAAATTAAGCGTGGTCCACTGCTGCACACGTGCCACAGTATCGATACAGGGCCAGCTGTATCGATACTCGTATGGTCAAATCTCTGTGACATTTTGAACACAGCACTAGTGGTGGTAGTGTGACGGTCTGGGGCTGCTCTGCAGCTTCAGGACCTGGATGACTCGCCATAACTGATGGAAGCATGAATTCTCCGCTCTATCAGAAAATCCTGAAGGAGAATGTCCAGCCGTCAGTTTGTGACCTCAAGCTCAGGAGCACTTGGGTTATGCAGCAGGACAATGATCCCAAACAC